GATAATAATATGTATTCTAATATATAAAATTTCGCATACATATTCAGATATGAAAATCAGAACAATTCGTATTTATTTGATAAATTTGATGAAATTCAATGAAATCTTCTTTCAAAAAATAAGCCATTACTCAGGGTATAGGTATATAAAATTTCAAAGATATCATGTTTAGTGAATGAGACTTAAACATCTATATCATTTAGTTTACCTAATTGATATCATAACTCGTCGCTAATATATTAATTTTAAACACATCTTTCATTGATGCACAACCTGTATTAGTTACACAGCCTCATTTTGTCATCATTTACAAAATATGGATTGACATTACAATCTTTGTCATTATACTATCATGGTCATTCACCATTCGAACTCCTATCAGTTTAATAGTAACATATTTACATGTGCAAACTATCAGTAGCAATAATAATAATACTAACCAATCTAACTAGAATAAAGAGTTATAAATATGATATTTTTTCATTTCATTATAGTTATTGCAAATTGGTTCGGAACAACATCTCACCTATACGTTTATACACAGTAATAATAATATTAATAAACTAAACTTTCTTAAATACATAGAAAAATTTATATTTTATAAAGGATTCCATGACTCTGATGATTAATTCAGTCATTAACTAAAAGACAGCAACTAGAAGAAGTAAGTTGTTCATTATTAATTATAACATTTAAAATAGTTTTGATTAATAACTGTTGAGTTTATATTTATAGGGAAGAATTAAATTTACACATTAGACTCTATTTATAACAAAAATGAGAATCATCTATAACCGGTATTTCACCGAAAAAAATATATTTAGAAATAAAACTGAAATTCTTAACACAAAATATAAAATGATTAATATATTGGATTATCAAAAAAGAAGTTAATAGGTCAGTATGATCTGTTATGCTTAGAAGTAGTGGACATTTCCTTTAATTAACATAAACACACACAGAAACAATCAAGAGAAGTTTTCTGTATTCAAATACAAATGCAAACACGTATTTTGCAATATCTACGTTTTAGATGTAATTTCATCTATTTCATCATTAGACTAACGTCTTTGTTTGACTAAATACTATTACAATAAAAGCTATACAAATATTGTCAGCAAATGTAATGGATTTTGTAAAAGAACAGTCAAAATCAAAATGCTTTGTTTTGTCATGCATCAGCTAACCTCACTGTATTGTTTTGATAGTCTCAGTGTATGTTGAGTCCACAAGTCATCTGGAAATGATGTGATTTTGCTTCTAATACGTTGAGCATCTGCACTGTATCTTATCTAGAATGAATACACATATATATGTTTTCAGGTCAGAAAATGTTGTAAACTTTTATTAAACGTGTAGACATGTAGGGTCTAAGAATATGTGTTCATTTACCTTAACAAATGAATTGATTTTAAGAATGGTTAATATAACTCCATAGTCTTCAGTGACCATTACAGTGTATTGAAAAAGGAATGATGACAAAACTAATACGTAATTCAATCACTTACTAGTGTACATTTGTATCTATTAAAAATGAATCGTACAATCTAGGTGTTGTACTCCCTAGAAATAATTAACACAAAATATCTACAGCAGTCTGAAAATAAACCTATACTTTCTCTGAGTTTCGACCATATTTAGTTTATTGCCACAAATACGTCATACTATCATGATATAAGTGTTTATTGGGTGATCCAGTCAGTAATTACACGTAGTTTGCTTATCCCTCTTGCTTGCAATAGCCAAAAACCCCAAATGATAGATAAAGATAGACCGACAGAACGACAACATTTTATGCGAAAAGTAAAATCTTGTTCTATTACTCTATCCAAAACATTTTGTTTATCAATAAAGCGTCCTATATATTATATAGGGCTGTATTAAGATTATAGTCTTCTTCTATTCGTTAAGCTTGTAAAAGTGAAAGGGACGTCAAGCAAATCTTTCCAGTATATATCTGTAAATACAACGTATAATTTGTGATCACTCCAAAACATACATGACCGATTTGTGTACATAGTCGTGTAACTGACTAACTGACTACTTTAATTTCAATATCTAATTTCACTGCATTTTTGTTCATTTTGCCTAAACATGGGTTATATTGTGTTGATGATTTTTGATGTAGAATATTTTTCAAATAAAGTAATTAAAATTATAAATGAGACTGATCAAAACAATCATTTGAAGATAGTTCTAAATTTAATTTCAGATTCTGTTATACATTAGTAAAAAACGGGACAGAATACTTTGCCTTATTAGGATAATGCTTTTCTGTATTTCCCTATGCCATTCAATTGAATAGCTTTCATAACTTAGAATTCATTAAAACATTTTATGTACTTTCAATTAAATATTTCACTCAGGGATAATCAGTGAAGGAAATACATTTAACTGAAAAATAAAAACATTTATAGTGACAAAATAAATCAGTCATCTAGTACACTTTCATACTAACAATCTTGTTCTTTCAATTAATCAACGAAATGAATAGTGATCTCATAAACCTGTTTATTACAACCTACAAACAAATAACATGAACCAAACCAACACGTATTGTCTTCAGCCGGCTATCTAATACAATATTAGGCTTTGGAGTATATGCGATTAGTTGTAAATATACTTTAGAATTATTTAAATCACGGCGAAATAATACCTATGTTAAGTTATTTTAGACAATGGTCAAAGAATTTCAATGACCAACTACAAATATAAGGGATGTGTGTACATAAATTCTTTATAAGTTGAAAGTGTGTCTTCCTATGGTTTGTATAATTTCCTGTTTGAATACAAAATAAGTAAACAACATGCAGATTTCAATAAACTCAGTCTCAGTGGAAATTCTTGGGTTTCGGGTTAATCAAATTTCAGTTCAATATGACTTAGTTAAATGAAAGAAGATCCTGTTGTATAATAAGGTGGGATATCATGAAAAACCCTCATTAATTTAAATTTTTATCATATATATTTTGTTGTTGAGCTGTCGGTAAACACAGATATAGACCTACTAGGAGACGCCAAAGAAAGTCGACCCTGGGTGACTAGAGACAGTCTGCAAGAAACCACGAACTTAGTTTTCTCGTTAGTGAGCATCTGTCTGCAAGTTTTACCAATAATCTTGAGAAAATCAGTGCAATTCACGAGATTCAGAGCTGCTTCCCTCAGCTTCATAGTCTTAGACGTTATTACTGAGAGTCGGTCAATACACAGTGTAGATCAAATGTAAAAAGCAGCCTTATTCACCGACTCTTAACTGTCAACCAGGTTTTAGATTTGAACCCAATTCGACATACTTCGGCGTGGTTTCGTTAAATCTCAAACAGAGATTGTACCTTTGTAAAGGACTGTCAGATATTGACAGATATTCAAGAGTTCATGGAGACCAGTTATTTTCAGACCTTGACCGACATAACTAGAAATGATGCTCATCATCATTTCGTCATTTTCATATGTTTCATTACTGCCATTATTGCTCACTGAAAATTGCAAGTAAATACAATTTAGTTGGGGCTGAATTTTTTTGCTTTGCTCTGATTAATACAACCGTTCTGTAAGTCATTATTATAAACTCTATGTGATAAATGACAGTAATAAAATCAACAAACAATTAAGTAATATTTCTATAATTTCAGTGACGTGATAGAAGTTGATTTTTATTGATTAAATATAGTTATAAACGTAGTTATATATTGTGTATATTAAACATTTTGTTAAAGCATTTCACAGAAACTTTATTTGTTAGACGTCTCTAATAAAAGCTAAATTCAAAGTTGAAATTATCTACTTTATATCTATCAAAAAAGTCAAATTATTATGAGCACAAATGAAAGGTGGCTAGCAGTGAAATCCAGGACGCGTTTTGTCATGTTTGGGACTCGTCAGCGGGATGTACCTCTATTCGGTAGTTGATGTTCACTCCGAGACTCGAACACAGTGTCGTTCACTTTGAACGCTTCAAATGATACTGAATTCGAGTCCCGGTGCCAATAAATCTGAAATGAAGCTTCGACCTGTTGACAAGTCCCGGCTAAGATTAAACGCACGTCCTGGGCTTTTTTATGTCTACCAACCACCTTTCTTTTAATGCTTATGAATTCATAGCAATATCGAGGCGATCCGCTCAGGATGCATACATTCGCAAAAGAGACGGACTAATTGTAGTCCTAAACATCATATCTGTGGGACGTTTATTAGAAAAGATTTTAAATTATCTATACGTTTATCATATTTGTAATTTGGATGGGAAATAATCCATAAATCTTTACGTTAGTGAGAATAAATTTCTGTAAGTCAGGAGACTTCATCATTAGGTTCCTAAATTACAAGACTTCAAATATCATTTACCGAATAAGTGAATATCAATTTCATTTACATATGTATTTCCATTCATTACAAACTTTTGTTTATCTCAGCAATTATTTTCACTTAGTAAAAACAATTTATAATAGTCATTCTGGTTTGAATAAGGTAGTTGTAATATGTGTTAATTTACCAGCTAAGTATTTGTCATCCTGAAACTTATTGATTGGAGTTGAGTGTATATGTTTCTTTTTCTGTGTATAAGTTTGAGGTACATAAATGTATTTTCTAATACTTTCGTGCATGAATTACAATAATATCATGTCATTTTGATTTATCCTTTTTCATCACATTTAGATGCTTACTATCAAAAACAATAATATTATTCATTTGATCAAACCACCCTTTTAGACGCTAATAAATTTCTAGTATCTTCGTATTTGAATAGCAGAAAGCTGTGAATAAAATTTCAAATGAATGAAGGGTAGATACCTATTTAATCACTTATTTATTAGTATATTTTAAATTTTTGTTCAAAATATCAGATCACCTTTGATAAAAATAGACTATTTCTAGTATAGCCCTTAGTCCATGGTTAAAATTATGTCTAGCTTGATCAATAAAAATGTCAACAAAAATATTAAAGAATGGTCGTCAGAGTGATCTAGAGAAAACAACTGGGATTACAGAAAAACACTTACACTGCTAAACATTCTTGTATTATTAGCTACTCTCAGTAGTTCTGGTGTATCCGGAATGAATGTAAATGAAGTTGGCTTTGGAGTGTGTCTACACAGAAATGAAAAGTAAATTGTAGGCAACATATTAGAAAAACAAATTTCCAGAAATATAAGTAAAGCTTTTTGACCTTAATGAACGATTAATTTGTGGATACTATTTTTATTTGGAGATAGTTTTCATCACGAAGTAGGATCAACCGTTGAATCACTGAAAAACATCGACCGATGAATGGACTTTTTGACCTCGTTCGTATGTCAAGAGTAGTACTCCCTTAATGGTTCACCTTAGATTGGATCGGAAACACAACCATGTAGCATTTAAACCATCAACGTTTAGACCAGCAATTCACAATTCTGATATCAGCCTGTATCAACATATCGTAATGTGAAAGATCGAATTCGAACTAACTGTAATGTGACTACGAAAAGGTTTGAACATTCCGGGTTTTGACTTATTATAGGGTTCTTGATGAGTTTATTGGACTGTAAGTTGGTCATTTAGTTTTAGAAACTATCCCACGTAGTGGCGGTTTGTGAAAAAAGTTATCTTAGCAGACTCATTCAAACTTTACCCACTTGTAAGTAACCGCAGTGTATATGTTCGACTTATATATATAAGGTGGGTATTATTTGGGCGCAAAACTGTTCGGGATCCTCGTCATCCTCCATTTGCAATAATTTTCGTGACATATTAGGACCAGATTTGCCAAAAAATTATTGAACATTTGAAGCGTATAAATACTAAAGTTATAAAAATAGTCATTTTTGTGATTTGAATTTGTTTTTATATTCTAAAGTCAATTGTTATTTCAAAAATACAATCATCTAGGTGTGTTGAGTTTAACACGAAGGCTAGAATACTATGGGCCTACTGAAGCAATATATCAAACAACCTTTTGTACAATGTTTCTTGTACAATTGAATTATTGATAACAATATAATCACCACGGATTACATTGGGTGACTTTCGTGCTATATATCTCATTGACATAATTTTATAGTATGAATCAGCAAATTCTAAGGAAATTATTCGCATCACTTGAGTTCAAGGGTTCCGTTTTGACTCAGTGATAGATAATGAGAATGTGGCCCCCAGTCGATAAAATATGAATGGTCATTTCGTTAACACTTTTATTCACACATCTGCTAATGCTGGTTACTTAAGTAAACTAGTTTCAGGCCGAATGTAGAAAATTTATTCTAAACGTATACAAGCTACAGTGTGAAGTTAGCAGTAAATAAAATGAATCTGTTAAAAATTACTAACAATTGTAAGATACAAATGAACTTACGCTGCACAATATGGCTTCTTATCATATCCACCATGATAGTTACATATGCTTAAGGCCATCCCACAGTGCTGGCAACGGAAACATCTTTTATGCCACATCTATAACAGTTGTATGCATATACGAAAGAGGGGGAAAATCATAAAGCAACAAAAACAAATATGACAGGCATCACACACAGCGTATTCCATGGATTTCAAATATGATTTCGCAAATTCGACTATCTTATTTATGTTTGAGAAGTGAAAGTTAGAATTTCTAATGATCATTTTAAAAGGTAAATTTGAATTGTTGAGAATGTATATATAGATGCATATATACAATTCATTTTGTTCACCATGCAAGAGATAATCATCAAACTATGTGATCGTTCCTTTCTATCACGGCTTGCAATACTAACGTAAGATTTGATTTAATATTTGTGTGTTATTGTAATTATTTAGGATAAAAATTGTTAAAAAGAACCTGTTTACTAAACCATCAACTTGGAAGCGTATATTTACTCACATTAATTAGTTAAAGCACCTTGTTGGCTTCCAGCCAAAACCAAATAAAATAATTAAGCGTATGTACTACTTAACCTTTTTATTAATCAAACAACAAGGAATAGTATATCAGAACAAGCGTTAAAGAAATAAAATGTAGTGTATTTATTCAGTGTTCTATAGTATACAGATTACGAGTGATCATTGTTTTCTAAAAACACAATATTTCATTACCTAGTTGTTGACTAACGTCTAACATGATTTGGCAAATAGAATAATTTTTAAACCATACGAGTAATATACATTGATTTGTTGCTACTAAACATGTGCAATATTTAGTACTTACCCGTGATGAACAACGTTAAACTCAACTTTCTAGTAGTTTTTGTACACTGATGTGTTAATTTAAAATATCTAAGTCCCCATAACTTAAGCATTCATATCAAGGAGTTGGAGCAAAGGACAATTAACTTGTGCTACTAACATTCACCATAAACTATCCCCCTCAAATTATTCTCGGGAAATATACACAATAAACTACTAGCGAACATAAACAACCAACGTTAGTATTAGTCTTGATACCGAATGCCGAAAACAATCGGTAATCTTGATTTTCATCTGTTTTTACTTTAAGAGCATAATGTTGAATCTGCAGCTCTCAATATGTAGAAATCAGTGTTAAAAAGTTGAAAGCTGAAGGTTCCAGATGGCTGGCTTAGCAATATGTCAATCGAAACAATTCACCGAACTTTTCTTGCACACTAATCAAGAAACGAAAAGTATGGTAGACCATGAAATAATTCACGTTTTTATTTTAAATGTCATGAAAATTATATTTTGAGTAGCACTTGGAGTTTATTATGTCACGAAGTTGTCCAAACTGACTTATTTTGACTCCAGAACTGACTATGGTGAAGCAGTAAACCGTTTGTACCTTAATATTTGAATGTAGGTTCTCGATTTACTGTTTTATATGTAAAACCTTTAAATCATAAATGTACTATGCATCTACTTATAAGATGAAAGAACAAAAGTGGTATGTGAGCCTAATAATTTTCTACAACTATGCGTAATGTTGTCTGATCGTGCAACGTTTTAACCAAATTCTTGATTTGATTTGATCGAACCAAACTTTTTCCACAGCCTATATTATGGCGTATATTAGTCATGTAACATTTTACCAAAATGAACAAAAATTAACCCCCGACACATAAAAATGTGCATTAAGTGAGTACAGTGGAGTTGTAATGAATCAACTGACAAGTTATTAGCTGAAATAGTCATGGGCAACCGTGTAACCAATAAAGAAAATTTTCGATCTCTTTAGTTTGTAATCAAAATGTTTGCTTTGCCTAGACAGTAAACATCTTACTAGGTTTATTTGCACAAGCTAAAAGCCAACTGTCTCAAAAACATTTCATTCTGTTTAGCTCCAGCTATGTTCTGTGTAATATAAATAAAATGAAAATCCTATGCCTACGACACTGAAAACCATATGTTCTCTGACTAACTTGAAGTAGAAATGATTACTCAAAATACAAGTCTATATATCCTCAGAAATTTCAATGAATGTAACTAGGTTTAAAATACATGTTGGTAAGTTAACTGACTGAAATGTTTTTATAGCTTCCTTTAATTCACAAATTCGTTGCGTATGATAAAAAGTCCATTTTTAGAATACTCACTAATTGTATATTATATACGTTATAATAGTGGATTATTTCAAAATAAATTTAAATATATTGTCTTACTATATCTTGATTTCTACTGTTTAATTCCGGTCAGAGAGTTGATTGTAACGTGTCATGAAATAAGTTGGTGTAAACATAGTCTTAACCATAATAAGATTATTTATCATCCGATTTTATACAACAACTCACTTCAGATAACTATCTGATGTATAAATGAAGTTCACTGAAGATATGCTTATGTTTTGGGAAAATTACATCTAAAGATGGGTCTCTGAACGGCTGAAGTTGGAAGAACTATGCTTGCACATATACACGGCTTTACCATTGAGATTGTCAATAAAAATTACTATACATAATAACGTCAAGCAAACAAAATCTAGGGATTAATTATCGTTGAGATACAAAGTCGAGTATACGTTGTATCCGGGTTAATAAGCAGACGTACTTGCAACAGTCACTTAAAATCATCATACCGATAAGTCTTTTTTTGTCCATCAGCACCATTTAATACTGTCTTGTTTCTTCCAGAAAATTAAAGAAATTTCAGTTCACCTTAATTTTGGTTTGTGTAAAGGATTTTATTGCAATTAATGTGATACAAATAAGGGTTCCTCTGGTCATATAACGGTTTTAACACCTGTTTTTAAGTTTTGTATAATTTAAACCTAAGAAATATTTCTCGAAATCCCAAATATTCACAAATCAGCTTCTTTACAGAAAACATGAAGTAACTCTAGGACTTCATAAGAACATACGTTTTTTGGGTTGCGTAATCATTGAGGTTTACGAAACAAAACAATCGACTGTGTTTATTCACTCGACGATTGATACAAATCTTCGAAGTTCAAAATGTCCGTATAAGAACGCTTCAGGTAAATCTATTGAAAGTACACAACACATTCATCATAGCCTCTTGGTTTATTTCTCCGACGACTTTGTGTAACATCAGTGAGAACTAATGAAAGACGTTTGGGTTTAAACTAGCTAAATTTCTAGTGTAGACAATACAGAATATTTCACTACATCACATCAGAGAGAGGTTCTTATGGACTTTGAGGGTTGACAATTGCTTAGGCTGATTGTTATTTTAAAACAAAACACTACATCTAAATGACTTTATTCAGGAGAGATCTTTATTTACGACCAGATATATGTATTTCTTATGTTGTCTCGGTTTATTTATAACCACATACATGTTCTAAAAAGAGGTCAATAAATAATCATGGACCGAAAAAACTATAAACGAAACCTAAAGTATTTTTTAGAACAATCTGAAGACATTTAACAAACCTGATCAAAACATCTTATCAATTCCAGAGGATAAACGACTTCGCAGCAAGAAGCACAAACTTTATTTGTGTTCATCATGAATTAAAAGACTGCTTTATATGTTTCAATCGGAATTTTATTTATTGAAAATAATGATTTTCGAAATCTCCGAACTACGGGTGCGCGTTTTTATGTGCTCAATTCAGAAAAGTATACAATCCGTATAATCAAACTTAGTGAAACAGTCAAACACACAATTCAATAAACAATATGTTAGTCACATCCTAGTGTAAAGTGACTTATATCTTTATCTTTTTATTTGAGGCAAGAAGCAGTTTAAGACTTTTTGTATCGTTCTGTACATGTATTCGAAACACGCATTCAAGAAGCGATTGTTTGTGACGGATTTGCACTGGACTTCAGTACCTATTTTAGGGGTCATCAATGATTGCCTTTTGCAACACAAATAGGTATGGATCTGTTTTGTAATGTCTTACACCGTTGGTGGTGTAGATATCGCGTATTATTAGATTTAATGAAGTCGTTAAACTCTGACTGATTTCATATCTGTGTGACCCTTTTCAAATATCTAGGCAGTCAGGTCACAGAATGCTGACACAGCTCACCGATCATCTTCAAGACCAAGGACAACCAACTTTTAGCAGCTGATTGTAATCTAAGGATTCGCCTATGTGTTGGTGCTCGCACTCTATCTGTTGTATCTGTTCTTATTAATATACTTCTTTAGCAACGTCGTTTGTACTGGACGGTCATCAAAGTAGCCATAGTACCTACATGAGACGAAGGGTGGTCCACGTTGTGTATCAAGTGTAAGGTGTGACTCTGACGTCAAATAACAACGGAAATGAATAGATACAACTTAAGAATGCTCGGAATCAGCAAAACCCATCGAGTTCAAGCAAGCTAAAAACGGAATACGTTCGAAAAAATGGTGCCGTGCTCCAGTCACCAATATACTAACACTCCACATACTCAGGGATTCTCTCTAATGCTGTTCAAAAAGGCATACAATGCACCTATAGGATGGAAACCTTATGGACTGTGGATCATCAAAGCACCCTTCAAAACAAAGAAGATGGGAATCACAATGAATATTATCTAATATTATACACCCACCAATGATGGCAACGACGATGATAAAGATCTGTCTTACGATAGACTGTAGTCAATCGTAGAGACGTTCTCAGGTATGGACTTGACCATCCTGATAGGTTACCTAGACGCCATGGTTGGAATGTACAACACCGGGTATGGAGATATCATGGGACGATATTGACTCGGAGAAAGGTACGAGAATGGTGATAGATTCGAAAATTTATGTGCATTCAACAAATTGGTCATAGAAGGCAAAATATTACCCCACAAACGCACACACAAAGCTACATATGTCTTATTAGATTGCACTACAGATAACCAGATCGATCATATCTGTATCACTAAAGAATTCAGAAGGACGATGGAAGACGTGAGAACCAGGAGAGGAGCTGACATAACTTCAGATCACCACCTGGTTGTGACCAAGATGAAACTGAAGCTAAAGAAACAATAGAAACACTGGTGGAACAGCATTATAAAGGTCCAGTACAGACTTCCTTCGAGATACTGACAAACTCAACAATTCAAGTTAGTCCTCAACTGCAGTTTCCAAGCCTTACATGATCTACTAAAAGAAGAAATTACTATGGAGGGCAATTGGAAAGGGATCAAGGAAGCTCTAATGTCAACATGACAGGAGGTGCTGGGACTCGACAAGCATCATCAAAAGGAATGGATCTTTATCGAAACCGTGGACAAGAAAGGAAGTAAAGAAAGACAGCAATTAACAACAGCCGAACAATAGCAGAGAACGTCAAGGCACAAGCTGAATACATTGAAGCAAACAAGCAAGTGAGAAGGAGCATAGGATCCAGAAAGCAGAAATATGTGGAAGCGATAGCAGCGACAACGGAAAGAGCTGCAAGCAAAGGAAATATGAGACAAGTATATGACACAATGAAAAAACAGGCAGGGAGATATAGCAAATCAGAGAGACAGGTCAATGTCGAAGAAAGAAGACAATCATTAAAATTCAAGGAAAAAAAACAGATGATTGGAAAACTTCGAGGAACTCTCGAATGAGCCAGCCCCATTGAATCAACTGGACATCGAAGCAGCACACATAGACCTCGCCGTTGTGGTCGTTCCACCAACGATGGAAGAAATCAGGATGGCCATCAGACATATAAAGAGCTGGAAGGCAGCAGGATCTGACAATATATCAGTTGAAGAACAAGAGCCAGATATAGATGCAACTGCAAACATGCTTCACGTCCTATTGAAGAAGATTTGTGAAAAGGAACAGGTGCCAACTTACTGTAAAGAAGGGTATTTCATCAAGACATCAAAGAAAGGAAACTTGAACAAATGTGAAAAACACAGAGGACTCATAATACAGTCAGTACCAGTAGAAGTATTGAAGAGGGTGTTGCTGAGCTGTATGAAAGAATCAGTGGCCGCCTAGCTGCCAGATCAACAGACCGGATTCCTTAAGAACCGATCGCGAACAGACCAAATCGCCACGCTACGAACCGTCGTTGAACAATCAGTTAGATGGAATTCGTCACTATAATTCAACTTTCTTCACCAATGTGAAAGCGGTTGACGGTGTGAATAAGAAAGCATTATGGAAACTTTTTCGACACTATGGCGTACTTAAAACGATTGTCTACTTCACTAGGAATTCATCCGACAGACTACAGTGCAAAGTCGTGCATGGAGGACAGCTGACAGATCCATGCCAAATGAGGACTAGGGTCAAACAGGGGGAGCGAAGAGCTGCAATGCAACTAAACGATTTGGACTTCGCAGATGACCTAGTCCTCCTATACCATAAACACGAACAAATTTAACATTTGAATTATTGTATTTCATATTATTTCTCTCATTGTATACTTCAAGTTGACATACAACATATTGTAGTAAATTTTACTCTACCTAATTTATTGTTAACCAATTCCAGACATATTACCCAGTTTCTTTCACTTATGGAATAGCCATGTAATTGTCATTTCATAATTTCTGTTTCTACGTTGTCAAGTATTTGAGATATATTATTGTATGAGATTTCTAGTCACAGATTGATAGAGTACAAAAGAGAATTAGTCTGTTTTATATTTTCGCCTACTAATTGAAAACATCTTCCGGTCAAAAACATGTTGCTATTATACAGTCATCATTTACTATCACTAAGTCATTCGATAAAGAAGTCACTGATTCTCAAAACAATAAGCAAACTCGACAATCCAACTCGTCCTATAATAAACAGCCGATCATTCAAGTACATATCCAATAAAAGATATTGTTATTGATAAATACATAACCATATAGAGTTTTATAAGCAGTAGTTAATACACGGTATTGTAGTTCATTTACTAAGAAATTCTGTCTAACTAATTCGTGATAAAAAATAATCAAGAATAAAAATCAGTCTATGAATAATTGTTCATTTCAATTTATCATTTACTCAAATAGAAGGACGTTTCCTTGAGAAATAAAGATAATCATTGTAGATATATATATAAGTTAAAACATCCGGATTGAGTATCAAAATACCAAAGAAATCAAAGAAGTGACATCTCCCCTCCCAATTCTTTAAGTGCAATAAAAATTTTGGAGGGTGGGAGAAAAACAGAAAAATCTCTACCTAAATTATCAATATACATAATTTGTTACTGAATATATAAAATCATTCTTACTAGTTCTTATATTAACTCACTATGAGGATGACGTTGCGAACCTCCTTACATGCCACCCCTAGGTAAAAGTGATCACGCATTTTTAACTTCTGACTTCCATATAACTGCCAATCACGAGCACGCGTCAACTCAATCCAGACCTAACGTCTGGAAAGCAAACATACCAGATATCACGCACTCAACATCATCGGTAGATTGGACAATAGACCCAGAGTCCTCAATTGAAACGGCTTGGGACGCATTCCGAAATTTATACTTAAAAGTTACCGCACCCCATATCCCTTGGACTAGACCAAGGGGGCTGAGAAACTCCCCATCATGGTTCAGTAGGGAGGTCCGCATCCTTCTCCGTAAGAGAAGAAAAATGTGGGATGGATTTAGGATGCTGGGGACTGATGAGACAAAATCTCAGTATCGAAAAGCCAGGAATACCTGTGCCTCGACCCTCCGCAAGTCTAAAAAGCTGTACGAACAAAACATTGTTAAGGAATCCATAGAATGTCCTAAACGCTTGTTTTCCTATATAAACTAAAGGACAAAAGGAAGAGGAAATATTCCTGCACTATAGAGAGACAGTGCTGCCGCATCATTAGTGGAAGATGATTTTGGTAAGGCTCAAGTGTTTTCAAACTAATTTAGCAATGTATATACCATAGAAGCACCCTTCCCGTCAGCGCATACTAACCCCCACACATACACTGGACAGCCTACATTGATTTCAGCAAAGCTTTTGACAAAGTTCCGCACAACCGACTGTTATATAAGCTAAAAAATGTCGGAATTGGAGGCAATCTATTGATGTGGATGGAAGACTTCCTTCTTGGGCTCCAACAAAGAGTACGGATAAACTCAAAGTTATCTAGCTGTGAAACTGTGCTTAGTGGAGTGCCCCAGGGTACAGTTTTGGGGCCAGTGCTATTCCTCTTGTATGTAAATGAACTTCCCCGCGTACTGTCATCATCGGTCTTGCCATATGCTGACGATGTCAAGATATGGAGAAAGATACGATGTAAGGGTGCTAGCCTAGAACTCCAAAATGACCTGAAGAAATTATCTGAATGCTCTCATACCTGGCAGCTGCCGATAAATACTTCCATGTGTGTTGTGATGCATATCGGTCATCAAGGTTCAGATACATACACGATGAATAACACTGAGCTACCTGCTGTCCAGACACATAATGACTTAGGAGTCATCGTTAGCCAAGATCTGAAGACTACTGAACACTGCCGTGCAATAGCCGCCAAAGCTTTTAGAACTCTATGGTCAATACGTAGGGCTTTTACTCATGTCGACGCTCAAACGCTTTTGACTTTGTATACAGTGTTCGTACGTCCTAAACTT